AATAATTATTTTTTTCAATAATGTGACTGATGTATTAGTCTCAGCATAATAGGCAACTTTTTTTTTTTAAATTATAAATAACTAATTCATCTCCACTTCCTCTGCAACCTAACACTCTCACAATTTTGTTTTATATCTAGAAAGCTAGAACTTGTTTTAACCAAATACATTTCATACTATTGTAAATATGATTAATTATAGTTAGTTATTAAATATTAGTTAGTGTAATAAATATCGTTAACTATATTTAGTAATAGTTAAGTTAATATAATCTTAATATATATATATATATGATATGATCTAGAACTAGTTTTAGTAAAAAATACATTAAATCATATCAATTTATTCTTTTATTAAAATATTTTAATATTAAATAATTACTAAAACTAATTTAATTACATTTTTAATTAATTGATAAATATGATAGGGAGATAATTCATACTTTATGTTTGATTTTATTTGTTTTTCTACTGAAACAGTGTCATACAGGTTAGTGTTGTATTCTACTTGTAAACTTAATGTCTTTACCCATAAATTATATAAAATAATAATTGTGTTACTACCAAAAAATATTTTTAGAAAAGGAGAAATTAGTAGATTTATAAGAACAATACACTGATCGTGACATTGAGAGATAATCATGTTGCCATCATTAGTCTTATGAGATACAGTTCCTCCAACAATACAGCTTATATCTTGAGGCCAAAGTTAAAAATTGAAAAGAAGAAAAAAAAAAAAAAAGAGAATAATATACGTATATATAATACATATTATATGTATGAAGAATTTGGAAAAAGGATAATATACCATGCTAATTAATTAGTTATAATGTAGATATTTATTTTGATTTAGAAAAGGAACTGAAATTCATTTGTGAAAAGACTAAGCTTGAGCAAAGCACGTGTTAATTATTAAGAGATAATAATCATGCATGGAGATCGTAAAAATAAGATATGAGAGAGTTGTAAAAATCAAAATCATAAGAAGCATCTTCATATAAGTTGGTCGAAATAATCCCTCCCCCCCCAAAAAAAATATTAATGATGACACAATAATGAAGGCAACCCAATTCCTTCTCCATTCATTGTGTTTTCATCAGCTCCTACATTGTACTGCTCCCTCGGTCATGTCTGCAGCTCGCTGCAGCCTTTTTCTTTTTCTTTCGCACCTTGAATCCACTAGAAGTTACACACATATATATATATACCACCTCTACGCTTAACTCTAATTACTACAGCATATTATTTAATAACCAACGATGATCTGCGTACTTAAAAGAAAAGAAAGAAGAGAAAAAGACAAAGGAGACAAGAAGGGCAACCCAAAAAATACACTCTATATATATACTCTCTCTCTCTCTCTCTCACTTTCTCTTGTGTTGTGATGTCATGTGAGAACCCTAAAGGCTGCCAAATTTGGAATGTGTATAAGGTTGATGATATAAAATATATATAATTAATTAGGTAGGATTATTGCATGTGAAAAGTGGAAGGGTGTTTGGCCTGAGCAAGCATTTGGACAACTTCTCTCATGGTTGGTCGTTCCACGCTCTGTTCTTGAACGCATAACATGGCTACAAAGAACACCTGCATTGCTTCCTTTACCATCACACTGTTACTTATTAATCTCTGATCAAGTATGTTCACCACCCCTTGCTTACTGCAATTGCTTTTTACCCTGCTCCATTGAACAATGTCTATTCCTTCTTCCCCGAAATCACCGACTGGTCTTTTCCCCGTTATCAGCTCCAGTAGTACCACTCCGAAGCTGTATACATCGCTCTTCTCGTCCACTTTCAATGTGTACGCATACTCTGCATGTACCATAACTTTTCATTCATCTTTTACATCAACTATATACATATATAAGAAACAAAATTATATATTTTTTAAAAAGAAAAAGGATTGTTCAGTTCACTATTTTATTAGCACCCAGAAAAAGAAAGAGGCCGCTTAATTACTCATCTTCCCAGTAAAGTACCCATGCATTCATGCATGCACATCTTCTGCTGTAAATATTTAAAGAAAAAAGTAAAAGTATACATAATATATATATATATAGCTTTCTTTATCCCATTCATATATATCTATATATACATACATATGTTTCTCCTTCTAGGGTTTAGCGAAAGTAGAGCTTAGATCCCGATCACGATTCTTAGATAGGTTTGCTTTACATTTTAAAATATGTTTCTCTTCTTCTTTGATCTGAGGATCAGTCAGGATGTGGGGTCTGATCAGCTATCGAAGAAGAAGATGGGTTTGTGATACGTACTAAAGTTCACTTCTCCCCACTTGTTCATCGTTACAGACACTAAAACAAAAGTTGAAAAGCAGAATTTTCCTTTGCGTTAGTGGAGTAGTCTTTACCCTTCTTGGGCTTCACGTACGTATGACTCATCCTAAACTATATTCTTCGTTTGTTTTGTGTTACATATGGTCATCATTTGGGAGCAAAAGTATATATACGTATATATATAGCATAATCTATATTTTTATATATGCTCACAAAAATTAACAACCAACAATATTATTGTCAATCAATGATTCATACGGGTTATTTGGGGACATACTCATTTCACCTAAGTAAAAAAAAAAAAATCCAAAGCTCCATTTAGATAACTTGTAATTTGATTTGGATTGGACTCTATATATAATACTTATATGTTAATGTATATATGCACTGACCTGATAGTGCAAAAAAGTCTTTTTCAAACAAGAAAAGATTGTTTCACGTATTAACACTTGTAGTGATTTTTCTTAGTAAGAATACTTAATCATATGGCCAGATCCATTAGAAGGATTTAAACAGACATAGATATCACCCTTATATATATAAGTATATTAGTGAATATATGAAGTATAGATGCAGGAATAGATAGAAGTGTGCGTGTATATGTGTATGTATACATACCTGGAGCAATATAACCATAGGAACCAGCAATTGCAGACATGCATTGTGAGGTCCCAGTATCTTGCAGAAACTTGGCAAGCCCAAAATCAGCAACATGAGCCTCAAAGTCTGAGTTGAGTAGAATGTTGTTGGACTTGACGTCTCGATGGAGGATGAGAGGAGAACAATCATGGTGCAGGTAACATAATCCTTTTGCTGCTTCAATGGCGATCTTCAACCTTATTTCCCATTTGAGATTCCCTCCACTCTTCCTGTGCAGAACCTCACCTAAGCTTCCATTTGGCATGTACTCATACACAAGCAAATTCATCTCCTTGTTCGAACAAAACGCAAGCAATCGCACGATGTTTCTGTGTCTAATACTACCCAAAGTCTGAATCTCTGCTGACAGACCATTGTCATGAGAACACCCTTTGTTTATACCTAATAGTTTCTTCACTGCTACTTGCTCTCCATTAGGCATTACTCCTCTGTAAACAATCCCTGCTCCACCTTTCCCTATTATGTTGTTTTCCTTTATGCATTCCAGAATGTCTTGGCTTCCAAATTCCAGCTTCTGAAATGCAGTGATCTTCCATGAATTTGAATTTCTTCCTACTTTCCGGGTCTTGAATATTGCCAGAAGGGCGAACACCAGTGAACAAAATAACAGTCCCAGTGCAAAGAGGAGCTTGAATTTAGCCGAGATTTGAGATGATTTGGTGGTGTTCTGGTTATGTAATTGTAAAGGTGAGGTTGACGAGGAATTGCACGGGTTGGATTGAGATCCACAGAGCTGAGGATTACCCACAAAGGATGTGGAGTTAAAGAATGAGTACTGTCCAAATTCAGGTATTGAACCAGAGAAATTGTTGTGGGAGAAATCAGCAGAGGTTAGACTCTTCATAGATCCAATCTCTCTGGGGAGACTCTGGTTCAGATTGTTCCAGGACACATTGAGATAGTTTAGAATGTGAATTTGAGAAATTTGAACCGGAAGGGGACCTGAGAGCTGGTTCCGACTCAAATCTAAGTAAGTTAGCTGCAGACAGTTACCCATCTCAGGAGGGATTCTACCTGAAAAGTTATTCATACTCATATCCAACTTGTTCAGACTTTTGAGCTGACCAATTTCAGATGGAATTTCCCCTGTGAAAGAGTTTGCAGTAAGGAGAAGAGTCTGCAAGCTAGACAGGTTTCCAATGGAAGCAGGAAGAGACCCAGATAAGCGATTGTTGGAAAGATTGAGCTGGGCAAGCGTGGAGGGTTCCTTGGTTGTCTGTGAAGGAATCTGGCCATTCAAATAATTGGTCTGCAACTCTACAAGTGATAGATTAGGAAAGTACAGAAACCCATCTGGTATGGACCCAGTCATATAATTTTGACCCATTCTAACTCTAGTTAGAGTGTAGCATTTACCAAGATCACGAGGAAGAGGACCAAACAAGAAGTTATTGAACAAAATCAAAATCTTGAGCCTCCTTCCAAAGCAGAGTGAGCTGGGGAGGAGTCCTGTGAGCTTATTACTGGAAAGATCGAGCTCCATCAATCTACCATTTCGTCCGAGGTCTGAAGGGATAGAACCTGTAAAGTTATTCCGCCATAGCTTGAGAACTTCCAACTTGGGTAGCTGGGAAATGAAAGATGGGATTTCTCCATGGAAGCTGTTGACAAAAAGATTGAGGAGAAGAAGTTCCTGGAGGGCTGAGAATTGGAGTGGGATCTCTCCTGTTAATTTATTGTTTGAAAGATCAAGTGATTTAAGACTAGTCATGTTTCCGAGCTCCGGTGGAATTAAACCACTCAGCTCATTGGTTTGCAAGAAGAGAGTGTCTAGTTTCTTGAGATTTCCCAGCTCTGGAGGAATACTACCCTGCAAGCTACAGTTTGCAAGATCCAGATGAACCAGATTAATCAGCCTACCAAATTCTGCTGGGATTCCTCCATTAAAATCATTGTAATAACCCAAGTAGAGTTGCTCCAGACTGGTAAGATTTCCCAGCTCTCTCGGTATTGAACCGCCCAAATCATTTCCAGCCAGGGACAAGTACTTGAGCTGCCTGAATTTTCCATAACTCGGAGGGATTTTCCCACTCAAGTAATTCCCGCCAAAACTTAAGTATCTCAGATTCGGAAGATCAGTGACACCCAAAGGCAAGGAGCCATTGAAGTAATTGTCGTAAGCGTCGAGCACTTCGAGCTTCTTCATTCGTGAGAATTCCCAGTTGAATTCGCCACTGAACATGTTGTTAGATATGTTGAGGAACTGAAGCCTGGTTAGCTTGTGAATATCTGTTGGAAACTGGCCTGAGAAGCTGTTTCCACTGACTGACAGATTGACAAGGCTTTGCAGCTGGGTGATTACAGGGGACAAGGACCCAGAAATGTTATAATTAGAGATATCAACACCAATAACTGATGTGTTCATGTGGTCACATTGGATTCCAGTCCAAGAACAAAGCAACAAGTAGTTCGATGCATCCCAGGTCTGAAGAGAAGGGTAGTAGGATTCAAAACCTTGCTTCAAAGAAACCAAGATTGAGGCCTGTTTTCTGAGGGACAAAACATTTACTGAATGAGAAGAAGAAGAAGAAGACGAAAGTAGAAGAAGGAAGAGAGAAGAAAGGAAAAGGAAATTGATATGAGAAGCAGCCATGGGAAAGATGATGAAGTTAGAAACGGGTAGATTTTATTTTATACAAAGCAGTAGCTAATCAGATTGAAGTAAAAGGACCAGAATTTGAAGAACTGGGATTGGGA